CTTTATTATAGAGAGTCTTTGTTCAAATCGCTAGTGTGGTTTTTGTTTGCTGATTGGGCTCTAACTAAGAGGGAATAGTACCGACAGTAGTCCCAGGAGACCCTCAAAGATAGCATTTGGGGATTGGTTTGGTTGTGACTTGGACTTGAGCTCTGTGCTGAGCTCCTTGCCAGTAGGAAATAGGAGGTTAGTAATATCACCTGTGGTTGATTGTGATGCAGCACGAACTGAAGCAAGTGCCTTGGGAGCCCCAGTGCTGTTGCCAGAATGATGATTATCAGCACTGTGGTATGGGATGGAGCTTCCTCAGGGTACAGAATGACTTACCAAGGAAATGACAGTCTCAGCTCCTTTCATTCTGAGTTCAAGCCACCATCTGAGAACCAGAACCCTTCTCTGGCAGCTTCACCAGGGTCTCATTTCTTATAACCACAAAGCCAATATTGAGGAAAACCAGTTTTCACAAAATCTAATTATGCAGGTTGCAGAATTAAAATGTCAGTTTCTCATATGATAGGGGTAGTGTCCATCTCTTGGCTGGGTTTAGTGTTTATTGAAGCCACCCACTAAAGAACCTAGTGGTGAGCCTGGCAGATTTTAGAAGGCAAAAAGGTACTCTTACACGCTGTTGCTGAGAGTATAATCTTTTACAGAAAATATACATATGGAATTTTACTTCTAGGGATTTATCTCCCAGAAATATGCCTACAAGTGAGCAAGTTTTTATACAGAAGTGTTTATTCCAACTTTGTGTGCATTACTGAAATTGGAAACGACTGAAATGTCCTTCAGTAGAGAATTTGTCAGACAAGTTATGCTATGTCCATGCCATGGCTTCCAATATGGTGATTGAAAAGAATGAAGTAGGTATGGACCTGAAAAAATATCTCAGATTCATTAAGTCATGAAAGTAAAGCAGTGTGAAAATAAGATTCCATTTTTGTTTATTCAAATTAAAAAAAAAGTCATGTATAGACAAAGGTCTAAAAAGATATATACCAAATTTGGGTGGCACCTGTGGCTCAAAGGAGTAGGGCACCGGCCTCATATGCTAGAGGTGGCGGGTTCAAAAACCCAGCCCTGGCCAAAAACTGCAAAAAAACCCATAAGATATATACCAAATTATTAATAGCAGTCACTAATGTCACCTCTGGAGAGTAGATGAATGAATAATTAATATTATCTTCAGAAAGTGAGATTGTTGGGGACTTTATATTTTTTCATTGTTTGTATTTTTCTTGCAGTGTTCAGAAAAATAATCATTTAAAATGTCTTATTATTAACATTTTCTACATGCAGTAAAACAATGTTTGCAGAAATGGAAATCATTGGTCAGTTTAACTTGGGATTTATAATAACCAAACTGAATGAGGATATCTTCATAGTAGACCAGCATGCTACTGATGAGAAATATAACTTTGAGATGCTACAACAGCACACCATTCTTCAGGGTCAGCGGCTTATAGTGTAAGTTCATTTCAGTGTTAAGAATCTTCAGTGTTGGCTGGGCACCTGTGGCTCAAGTGGCTAAGGCACCAGCCACATACACCTAAGGTGGCGGGTTTGAATCCAGCCTGGGCCCGCCAAAACAACAATGACGGTTGCAACCAAAAAATAGCTGGGCACTGTGGCGGGCGCCTGTAGTCCCAGCTGCTTGGGAGGCTGAGGCAGGAGACTCACTTGAGCCCAGGAGTTGGAGGTTGCTGTGAGTTATGATGTTGAGGCACTCTACCCAGGGGGATAGCTTGAGGCTCTGTCTCAAAAAAAAAAGAATCTTCAGTGTTGATTCCCAAATTCCCCCACAAATTTAAGATTTAATAGCTTCTGTGCATCTATATATGTATACATGTGATTTCTTTTTTACCATGAGTATTCATACAGAATATTTTTGTACTTTTTACACAGTAATAGTTATAGTTACTATCTATTTATTGATTACTTCAACAGTGCCTGGTCTATATGCCAGGCACTATTGAAGCAATTTATATCTATTAGTTCATTTAATCCTTGCAAACCTATAACTGTTATAAACAGAAATGTTTTTAAAATGTTATATGACAAAATCAATGATAAACAAAAAATATATTTTCCAGTCGGAAAATACTAGTACTCTGTCTCCCGTGGAATGTTTTTTGTTCTTTTTTTTAGAGAGAGAGTCTCTCACTTTGTCACCCTTGGTAGAGTGCTATGGCGTCACAGCTCACAGCAACCTCCAGCCATTGGGCTTAGGTGACAGCCTCCCCAGTAGCTGGGACTATAGGTGTCCGCCACAATGCCTGGCTATTTTTCTGTTGCAGTTTGGCCAGGGCTGGGTTTGAACCCACTACCCTTGGTATATGGAGCTGGCGCCCTACTCACTGAGCCACAGGCACCGCCTGCATGGAATGCATTTTAAATTTTCAATAAGAGTAAATGGTAATAGTAAAGACATTTAGTAAGCTACTTTGTAGTATTGAAATATTCTTGCCTCTCAAGTCTTTTATTTATTCGTTTATTATTATTATTTATTTTTTGTAGAGACAGAGTCTCACTTTATCGCCCTTGTTAGAGTGCTGTGGTGTCACACAGCTCACAGCAACCTCCAACTCCTGGACTTAAGTGATTCTCTTGCCTCAGCCTCCTGAGAGGCTGGGACTACAGGCACCCACCACAACACCCAGCTATTTTTTGGTTGCAGTTTGGCCGGGGCTGGCTTTGAACCTGCCACCCTTGGTATATGGGGCCAGTGCCCTACTCACTGAGCCAGAGGCCTCTCCCTATTTATTTCTTATTTTTGAGGCAGAGTCTCACTCTTGCCCAGGCTAGAGTTAGCCTAGCTCACAGCAACCTTAAACTCCTGGGCTCAAGTGGTTCTCCTGCCTCAGCCTCCTAGAGTGCTAGGATTACAGGCATGAGCCACAATGTCTAGCCAGAAATCCTTTATTTTTTTAGTCATTTGGCATAAATAATGGCTTATCTGTGGCATTTCAAGTTGATCTGGGTAATCACAGGACTCTTTATGTCCCAAGATGGACTGTACTTCAAGACTAAAGGATAAAGACTTAAATTTCATCCTACCCTACCAGGTCCTGCATAGTTTGATGCTGTTGATCTCTTTAGCTTTTCCTAACCCTCCTTTTCATTCCCTATATTTGAGCAATCTGGCCATCTTTCTTTTTCTCTTAGCAGGCCTGAAAAATTCTTATATGGCCATTAAAAAGAATGAAGTATATTTTAATGTATGGCTCTGGAAAGATCATAAGTCCACATAGGGCTTGGCATAGATTGTTGTCTCTGGAACACTTATCCCACACCCCCCTTTGACTCCCCCTTACCTCATTAACTCTCACTTGTCCCTATAGCTCAGCTCAAAGATCACTTCCTCAGAGCACCCTTCTCCAACCCACGGTCAAGTCTCACTTGCCATATGTTCTTATGGCACTGGCTATTTTTTCTTTCGGATTGTTCCTGTTGTTTGTAGTCGTAATGGATTTGTTTGACTGTTGGATCAATGTCTTTGTTTCCCACTAATCTGTTAATTCCAGGAGGACCGAAACTGGGTCTATATCTCCTGCCTTTAGCAGTGTTTGTATTATTAAGCATTTAATGTAAATCCAGTAGGAGAGATGGATGGAGAAATAATACAGGCAGAGGAAGGAGCAGGAAAGCAAAATAAGTGCTGTCTGTGCATTTTGTTTTCAAGTGCTGATTATGTTCTAATCTAGCTTCTCATATTTTATTGTGAGGAAGGAAGGAGAGGATCCATAAAAGACCAGGTCATTGGAGTAAGATGGAAGATTTAGGAAAGAAGCAAACTGCTTTTGTAGCTACTTTAACTTCTAAAAAGAACTTTAAGATTAAGAAAAAGGAAATTAGGCTCGGTGCCTATAGCTCAACCGGCTAAGGTGCCAGCCACGTACACCTAAGGTGGTGGGTTCGAATCCCCAG